CATTATAATCCAAGGGGCAGTGATGGGTTAGTGGTGTCGTCGCTAGACTATTAATCCAGAGACTCAGGTAACACCCCAGAACATGGGTTTGAATCGTGCCAGGGGCAGATGGTGGAGTTTCAATTCAATTAAACTCTGGAATTAAGAATCTAATGATGACTGTGAAATGGTTGTCAGAAAAAGCCCATTTGTTTCATATATGTGCTGAAAGGAAATTTACTGTCTTTACCTGATCTGACCTACATGTCCTGAGCCATAGTCATGTGGTTGACTCTTAGCCGCCCTCTAGGCAATTAAAAATTCACGTCATCTACATTCCTTTGTAGCTTCCTTATGTCCTCGTCACAATTTACTTTCCTACTTACCTTTGTGTCATCAGAAAATTTAGTTATCACTCTATTAATCCCTTCATCCAAGTCATGTAGACAAATCGTAAATAGACATGGTCCTAGCACAGATCCCTGTGGCACATCACAGGTTAAATTGCACCAACCAGAAAATAACCCATTTAATTCTACTATCTGTTTCATATAAGCTAACTGGCCTATAGTTTCCTGCTTTCTGTCTCCCTCCCTCACGGTGCCAACTGGGGGAACACAAGGAAAATTCTTGGAGGTTAGTGTACAGACGAAGCGTTGCATTGCTAGAGACATCCCTTCTCGGATCAGACTGAAACACATAAGAATATTCCCTATCGTTCCAAACAGCTGTGTTGTAAGGCAACACAGAAAACAGCCACCTCAGATATTCACTCAGAAGGAACAGATATATCATTGTGGCTGTTGTGAAAAGTTGTGGCCACAGAGACATAAAGATATGACTGGCCTGGTGCAGAGATGGGCCCGTCATTAGCCTCCATATTCACTTCTGCTTCATGTTCAGGTTTCATAGAATCATAGAATCCCTACTGTGTAGAAACAGGCCCTTCGGCCCAACACCGACTCTTGCAGCATCCCGGCCAGACCCATCCCCTTATAACCCACACACACCTGAATACTACAGACAATTTAGCATGGCCAATCCACTTAGCCTGCACATCTTTGGACTGTGGGAGGAAACCGGAGCACCCGGAGGAAACCCACGCAGACACGAGGAGAATGTGCAAACTCCGCACAGACAGTCGCCTGAGGCTGGAATCGAACCCGGGTCCCTGGTGCTGTGAGGCTGCAGTGCTAACCACATCTGACCACGGCAGCTTCTCTGACCTTCTTTGGAAGCAAACAGAGATACCCAGGATGACAGCCAGAGGAACGCATAAACCACCTGTTCTAGAGTAGAATTTCAAGCAAGCTTCAATGATGAACAGAAAAGAACTTTCTTCATTGTCAGTGACATTGGAAAAGAAAACCTTTGCAAGCCCCAACTCTTTTGATCAGATGATTGTGGATTGCCTTGTGATCTAATGATCTAGTGCAACAGGTAGACAAAGCACTGGAGAAAGCTAGCTCGCCTGCAGATGGCAACACTTTTGGGACATTATTTGTGTCCTTTGTGCAGGCTGAACCAAAGTACATTGTTAATTGGTCTGGCGTCTCTTTGTTCCCCATTATAATATCCCTGGCTTCTGACAGTAACCTGCCAGGTTCAGCTGTAGGAATAAAATTAACAGACACTTTCAAAATGTAAAAGGTCATTTTTGGGCTGTTGGCCAGAAATACCTTTCATGTTGGATAACAGTGAATTGGCAGGCTGACCTACATCACGGCAAATCAATCAAATTAAAAATCAGGAGCAATGAAAATTGGGCTGTCATTGCTCAAACTTCACCCACAGGGAGACCACATGATGGAAACGGGTACATACAGTCATCGAGATGTACAACACGTAAACAGAACCTTCGGTGCAACCAGCTATCCCAAATTAATCTAGTCCCATTTGCCAGCGTTTGGCCCATATCCCTCTAAACTCATCTTATTCATGTACCCATCCAGATGCCTTTTAAATGTTGTAGTTGCACCAGCCTCCACCACTTCCTCTGGCAGCTCATTCCATATTCACATCACACTCTGCGTGGAAAAAGTTGCCCCTTAGGTCCCTTTTAAATCTTCTCCCGCCCCCCACCTTAAACCTATGCCCTCCAGTTTTAGACTCCCCCACCCTTCTATAAGGTCACCCCTCAGCATCTGATGCTCCAGGGAAAACAGCCCCAGCCTATTCAGCCTCTCTCTATAGCTCAAACCCCCCAACCCTGGCAACATCCTTGTAAATCTTTTCTGAGTCCTTTCAAGTTTCACAACATCTTTCCTAGAGCAGGGAGACCAGAATTGCAGTGCTCCAAAAGTGGCCTAACCAATGTCCCGTACAGCTGCAACATGACCTCCCAATTCCTATACTCAAAGCTCTGACTGATAAAGGCAAGCATACAAAACACCTTCTTCACCACCCTGTCTCCCTGCTGCACTTGATATAGCAGGGAAGTCAACCCTGGAATCATTGAAGAAATCATTAAATACCACATTGGGTGCAACACTAGTATATCTCTGGATGCACGAATTGAAATGGCTTTGCTTTTCCTTTACCATTTTGTGATGACCATCCTAATGCAATAATACAGTTTGTAATACATTTCTCCAGCGTGTTGCAATTTCTTATCAGTATTTTCCTTGTTTTAAATCTTTATAAATTTTTAAATTGGTGTAAGACATACTTTGGTACAGATCAATTATTATAGCTTGATATTCCAGACTGTGCTCAGACCCACGGAGAATTGGACAAGAAGCAAGTGAAAACGGAGTAATGGCAGGGATGGGAGATTAGCCTCAATGGGACTTCATCAAAAAAGTGGTGAATATGCCCAAAGCTGCTCAAAAGTCTCTCACTACGACGTATTGTCCTAGCAAAATAAAAGTTGAGCGGGGAGAAAGCACTTCATTTGTATACGCTTAATTATGAAGGTCATGGATTGTCTCTTGGAAAGACATGAGAAGGTGTCAAGACACCAATAACCAATAGAATGCTTGTTTCATCAATCATCTCAATCTGATGCCTTCCTGACCTGACCAATAATCTTAGTTGAACTCACAGATCTGGGTTAGAAGTAGGCAACCTGGCTATGTGAGATAACAAGGTGTAGAGCTGGATGAACACAGCAGGCCAAGCAGCATCAGAGGAGCAGGAAAGCTGATGTTTTGGGCCTAGACCCTTGCGTCTAGGCCTGAATCATCAGCTTTCTTGCTCCTCTGATGCTGCTTGGCCTGCTGTGTTCATCCAGCTCTACACCTTGTTATCTCAGATTCTCCAGCTTCTGCAGTTCTTGCTATCTCTGAGGACACTAAAGCTCATTGTTCACTTATCTCTCTTTCCAACCTCTCTTAATGCAGCCCTCACTCCATACTCTACTGGAGAAAATGTCATCAATCTTCTGGTCACATGAAGTAACCAGAACTAAAATAGGTGTGTTTCATTGGACAACTAATTTTTATACAGATAAAGCATTTGTATTGTGTCATAGTGGGCCCATGAAGTTTTTATGAGAAAGGTGGAGGATTCTCATAACAAAGAAAGTTAAGGACTTCTGATAGAATCTGTTCAGGAGGTTCAAGGCATTGAATTACAGTAAAACCTGGTTACAGAGGGATAGCAGCCTATGTATCAGACCTGTACAAAGGTGCTCACCATCCTGCATCTATTCTAATCAAGCCAATAATCTGTTGAGTCTCAATCAAAGTCAAAATGCCTGGCCTTTTTGAAACCTATCTGGATTGCAGACTTTGATCAGTTAGGTGGCCCTCAGGAACCCCTGGGGCAGACCAACTGCACAGCCTACATCTCTCCCACCCCACTCGCCTATTGAAGAGATGGGTGTGAGTAGGGGGGAGGAAAGAGGAAGCTCACTTTTTCCAATCTCCCTTAAATCCTGCTCATGATCCAACAGGCAAGGGAAGCAAGTGAGACAAGAATGCTTGCTCCCAATTTGTGAACATGTCAGAGCCTAGCTCACCAGGTAGCAGATTTCTAGCACTATTTCACTTCCCTTTTCCACGGTACAATGTATTCCAAGGTAACTTAAAAAGGAACCAACAGCTTATGCTATGGATTTCCACACCTGCTAGGCTTTGTGCTCTAGGTTTTGTACATTAAAACTGTGACTTGCATTTGATTAATGTAAGAATGTGAGAATATTAGGAAAAAGAATAGGCCATTCAGCCCCTTACACCAGTTCCATCATTAAAGGAGATCGTGGCTAATCTTGACTTCAGATTAATTGCCCTTCCTCCCCCACTCCCCCCATCATTCAGAAGCGGGCCAGACCTTATTGGAGTATGATCACAAGATTGTGAGTACTAGCAATCAGGTGTTGGAAACCAATATGGATTAGTCAGAGCGGAGCTGGAGGGCAAATAAGATGGTGCAAATTTGGAGTTTTAAAAAATTTATTCATTCATTCATTCAAGGTTTGATGACGTCACTGGCTTGGTCAACATTTATTGCCCATCTCAGAGGGCTGTTAAGAGTCAACCACATTGCTGAGGGTCTGGAGTCACATGTACTTGACGGCAGGTAAGGATGGCAGTTTCCTTCCCTAAGGACATTGGTGAACCAAATGGATTTTTCCAACAACTGACAATGGTTTCATGGTTATCATTAGACTCTTAACTCCAGATTTTGGTTGAATTCAAATTTCACCATCTGCCATGGCAGGATTGGAACCTGGGTCCCAAAACGCTACCTGGGTCTCTGGATGAACAGTCCCGTGATAATACCATACAGTCATCGCCTCCCCTATGTTGGAGCTTTGGATGAGCGTAAGTTGATCAAGGGTGGAAGATGGAAAGGCAACAAAGAGAGTATTAGAATAGACTTGGAGTGTCAATGAGCATCTGAGCAGTAGATGTACTGAGATACAAGCAGAGATGGGTGATATTACAGAAGTGGATCATTACCTACAACCCAGCCCACTCCTCTACCACACAATTTCCTGAATGCCAAGCAGATCAATTCCTACCACTCCAACTTTCATGACACCTTTATGGCCTTCAATATTTATGAAGACCACTTACCTGTTTGCTATTTTCCTCACTGTTACAAACTTCACGCATTCTTTCTTTGATAGCTTCTTCAGTGGGTGGAACTATCACATCCGTCTTGCTGAGCAGGGACACCAACTGATGCTTGAATGCCTCCAACTGAGTGTGAACCGATTTGGCTTCACACACGCTGGTCAATAAACTCCCATCCAGTTCTTTGGAACGCTGTTCCCAGCTTCTTGTTTCTAATTTCGAGGCTTCCAATGCTCTTTGTGTTGAGTCCAGCCTGTCCTGTAGGCTTCTGTTCTCTCTTTCAAGGCGGTGTTTGGCATTTAGTGCATTGTCTAACTCCTGAGAGGTCACAAAAAGAAAGGAACAAATACACAAACAGCAACAAGAAGCAACAATCTACCGTTACTCTCAACCTACAGCTGTGGAAATTCATCAAGGCTCACTCAAAACCTTCCAAATCTATGATGACCACCATCTAGAAGGAGAAGGGCAGTAGATACATGGGAATGCCACCCCTACAAGTTTCCCTCCAATTCACTCACCATCCCAACTCGGAAATGTATCACTGTTCCTTCACTGTCACTGGGTCAAAATCCTGGAACTTCCTTCCGAACAGCATTGTGGATCTACCTATACCAAATGGACTGCAGTGGTTGAAGAAGGCAGCTTACCACCACCCTCTTAAGGACAACTAGGGATATGTTATAAGTGTTGGCCCAAAAGTGAGGCCTACTTCCACAGAAACCCTACAGTGCAGAAAGAGGCCATTTGGCCCATTAAGTCTGCACTGACCCTCTGAACAGCATCCCACCCAGACCTAATTCTCTTACATATTCCCATAACTCCACATTTACCACGTTAATCCACCCAACCTGCACACTATGGGGCAATTTAGCATGGCCAATACACCTAACCTGGCAGGAAACCAGAGCACCTAGCGGAAACCACACAGACATGCGGACAATGTACAGCGTTTGCAGTCGCCCAACACTAGGATTGAACCTGGGTCCCTGGCACTGTGTGGCAGCAGTGCTAACCACTGAGCCATGTCCTGTCCATGAATAAATTTGAAAAAAAAAATCTGATTGGGAATCATTGGAATCTTGAGGATATTTAAGATATAGGAAGAAACTGGACCAACACGCCATTAAACAACAGTGGGAACAATGACCTAGTGGATGAGATAATGGAAAGGCGGCAAAGGTTTTGAATTTGTAAAATGGGAATGGGGACTTTCGAGAAATGGTACAAAGCTATGTATAAATGGAACAGAAAAGAGGAGCTTTGGACAGACAAAACCGAGGGAGGTCATAAATGGCTAAAGAATAAACAGGTTATAGAATATAAGTATAAAAAGACAGTAAAAAATAAAGAGAGAGGAATAGCAGTTAAAATGAGTTAAATTGTCTGTACAGCCATTTACATGGTGTCTTTAACAGAAAGGAAACAACAATAACCATTAGAAGAAACAGACAAATTCAGGATTACTGAGACACAGCTCCAGAAATATCAGAACTGGGGTTTAAACATTGTCTACATTTTCTAAATGTGTTTTGCAGAGTACAAGAGGAGATGGAGTAGCTGCCCTTGTTGGAGCAAATAAGAGAAATAAAAGTAGGGGAAAAGCTACGCGATATTGGTCATAATAGAACATTCATTAAAATCATAATGAAGAAGGACATACTGTAGACTAGGATAACATATTGGAGAAAGACTGATTTTACAGGGCTGAGGATAGAACTTTGAGAACTAAAATAGGCTTCAACTCTATATTTTAATACACAACTAAGGTCAGAAACCCTGTCCACAGAGCACACCAGTCAGCCTCTCTACTTCTTATTATTTGCTCCAATTAACTAGAAAAAGTCACTGTTATCTTCTCCGTACCTTACGAATGGTGTCTAATTCCTGCACATAGGAGGCAACAGCTTTCTGCTCCCTACCCAGCTCCGAGACGAGCCTCATGATAGTTTCCCGGCTGGCTTTCGACTCCATGTCATGGGCACCGACGGTCTCCTCAAGGCTTCTAATCTGGATACTCTTCCTGGTGTTCTCTCTGTACAAGTCTCCCACCTTAGAAGGAAGACAGTAAAACCTGGCTTCATAACAAACATGAAATCTTACCAAAGGCAGTGAAGGTTTTAAGGAATGCAATAGCCCAGATTGAAAAACATGACACTGTCTTAGAAAACGTACTGCATGCACATACAATCAAGGTCAATGTTTCTTCTAAAATAAGTTGGCTATCAAAGCAGGAGGTTTAGCTGCAGTTCTTTGAGTTTGTTAAATAATTTTGCAGGGTCAAACAGCGAAGGATTCCACAAACCAAGAAAGCTTCTCACTGTGACACATAGAGTCAGAGGTGTACGGCACAGAAACAAACCCTTCGGTCTTATTCATCCATGCCAACCAAATATCCTAAATTAATCTAGTTCCATTTGCCAGTATTTGGCCCATATCCCTCTAAACCCTTCCTAGTCATATACCCACCCAGATGCCTTTTAAATGTTGTAATTGTACCAGCCTTCACCACTTCCTCTAGCAGCTCATTCCATACACGCACCACCCTCTGCATGAAAAAGTTGCCCCTTACGTCCCTTTTATATCTTTCACCTTAAACCTATTCCTTCTAGTTTTAGAATCCTCTACCATGGGAAGAAAAAGCTTGGCTATTCATCCTATCCATGCTCCTTATGATTTTATAAAACTCTATACAGTCACCCCTCAGCTTCCAACACTCCAGGGAAAATAGCTCCAACTTATTCAGCCTCTCCTGATAAGTCAAACCGTCCAACCCTAGCACCATTCTGGTAAATCTTTTCTGGACCCTTTCGAGTTTAACAACATCTTTCCTATAACCGGGAGACCAGAAATGAATGCAGTATTCCAAAAGTGGCCTAACCAATGTCCTGTACAGCCGTAACATGACCCCTCATATCTCCTATCCTCAATGCACTGACCAATAAAGGCAAGCATACCAAAATGCTTTCTTCACTATCCTGTCTATCTGGGACTCCAATTTCAAGGAACTACGAACCTGTATTTCAAGGTCTCTTTGCACAGCAAACACTCCCCAGGACCTTACCATTAAGTATATAAGGCCTGCCCTGAGTTGCCTGTCCAAAATGCAGCACCTCATATTTATCTAAAATTAAACTCCATCTGCCATTCCTCAGTCCATTTGCCCATCTGATCAAAATCCCGTTGTAGTTTGAGGTAACTCTCTTTGCTGTCCAATACACCACCAATTTTGGTGTCATCTGCAAACTTACCAACCGTACCTCCTATGCTCACATCCAAATCATTTATATAAATGACAAATAGCAGTGGACCCAGCACCAATCCTTGCAGCACACCACTGGTCACAGGCTTCCTGTCCAAAAAGCAACCTCCACCACCACCCTCTGTCTCCTACCCTGAACCAGTTGTGGGGCTTCTGTAGTGAAGCCTCCACCTATCCTACTTTCTGACTAACTGGGGAGTCACTGGCCCCAATATTTACTATAAAAGTGGGGAAGGCGCAGGAGAGAATTTCTGCAGGGAATTTTGGAACTCCGGGGAACACGATGGGGTCCTAATGAACTTGACTACGGGACCTCAGTATGAAATTCTTTACCTGGTTAGCTCAGTTGTCTGGACAGTTGGTTTACGTTGCAGAGTGATGCCAAGCATGGGTTCAATTCCCACACTGACTGATGTTACCATGAGGGGCTCACACCTCTCCCCTTGCCTGAGATATGGTGACCCTCAGGTTAAACCACCACCAGTCCCCCCTCTCTCTCTCTCTCTCTCTCTCTAATGGCCTGGCAAGACTATGACAACTTTACTCTGCTCCTTCCAGGTGGAAGGACAGTGGCAGAAGACCACCACTTTCGAGTACAGGAATAACAGGGAATGATCGAGGAATGTTAGGAGTTTGAGGGGAGATAGGGGTCGGTGGCAAGAGCCATTAGGGTGGTAGTGGTGGTGGGATGTCAGGCCAGAAATCTCAAGGGAATGCTGACCAAGAGAGACCACGGAGACAGGGGAGAAGCTGGACAGATGGAGGAATAGTTGTTAGGGTGGATTAAGATGGTGATTTCTGACTTCTCCCACATTTTCATGCTGGCCACTGCTGTGAGAGAGCAAGAAGTAAGGCTGACGTTTCAATTCTCAGTGCCAAGGAAATACCACCGAGGAGCTGCCCCCTTTGTGTGGATGCTCAATATCTATTCAGCTAAATCCCTGCAGAATCTACTGAATCAAAACCATTTCATCGTAATGACCAGAGCTACTTCACCTAGTCCATGAGTCACACTCATTGAGTCAATGTTACTGGAAAGGCTGGTCCATATCTGTCTCAGAGAGTGGAAATAATGCTCTGGGTCATAGAGTCTTGGATTAGACCCTGTCTGGACTTATGCTTAACATTCATTGTTAAGCACATTAGCCTACAGCAGCTTTAGTGCAGATTCACCAGCGCTTTAAAGGGTTAAAATTGTTGCATAAGTTTAGGCTGTATTACCTTGACGTTAGAAGGTTGAAGGACAGAGCTAATCAAGGTGATTTGTCTTCTTTAAAAGATCATAAAGCCCTTAATATTTACGGAGAAACAGGAGTAGGCCATTCGGCCCCTCGAGCCTACTCCACCATTCAAGGTGATTGTGGGTGATCATCAAGGTCAATTCTCTAATCCCACCCTCCCCCCATATTCCCTGATACCTTTAGCCACATGAGCTATTGTTTTGGCCTCAACCACTTTCTGTGGTAGTGAACTCCACAGGCTCACCACTCTCTGGGTGAAGAAACTTCTCCTCATCTCAGCCCTAAAATGTTTGCCCTCAGCTTTAAATTATGATCCCTGGTTCCTGAACATCCTTCCTGCATCTAACCTGTTAGAATTTTATAAGTTGCTCTGAGATTTCCCCCCACCCCCAATCTTCTAAAGTCTAGTGAATACATTCTTAACTGACTCACTCACTCCTCATACGTCAGTCTTGCCATCCCAGAAATCAATTTGGTAAACCTTTGCCGCATTCCCTCTATAGCAGGAACAACCTTCCGCAGATAAGGAGAGCAAAACTGCTCACAATATTCCAAGTGTGGCCTCACCTTTGCCCTATAAAACTGCAGCAAGTTGTCCTTGCGCCTGTACTCAAATCCTCTCGTTATGAAGGCCAATACACAGTTTGCCTTCTTTACTACCCGCTGCACCTGCACACCAACTCTTAGCAACTGCTGCACGAGGACACCCAGGTCTCGTTTAACATCCCCTCCTCGATTTCCAGCCAATAATAATCTGCCTTCCTATTTTTGCTACCAAACTTCTCTCACCGTATTTTCCCCATCGATATTTCACAGTCCTCCTCCTTAACTTAAATGTCTCCTCGTTATCCCTTTTCTATGCAGACAGACATGAAGTTTTCATTGAGATTCACTCCAATGTTTTCCACCTTCACAGAAATATTATCTTTCTGGTCTTCTTCAATAAACACCACACCTTCCTTAGTTATCCTATTGCACTTGATGCCTTTATAAAAACATCCTTGTGTTCAAGTCCCAGTCCAGGGCTTCAGAACGAAAATCAAAGCTGACACTCCAGGGCAGTGCTGACAGGTGCTGCACTATCCGAGCTGCAGGAGCGAACTACTGCAGATGCTGGAATCTATACTGAAAACAAAAAGTGCTGGAAATCACAGCGGGTCAGGCAGCATCCATAGAGAGCAAACTAACGTCTCCAGTCTAGACGACTCTCCATCAGAGCTGGAGACGCTGATGGAGAGTCAACCAGATTTGAAACATTAGCTTGCTCTCTCTTTCCATGATGCTGCCTGACCCGCTGTGATTTCCAGCACATTTTGTTTTGTGTCGGAGATGCAGTCGTTCAGATGAGATCTTAAACTGAGGCTTATCTGCCTGTTCAGGTGGATGCAACAATTTCCTGGCCACTATTTATTATTTCCCTTTATTTAGAAATAATGTGAGTGAAGCTTATTTTAGGCAGTTTTTCCTGGCACCCCTGGATGGTTCTCATTGCACATGGAATGTTGTAGGCTAATCAACAGAAATTGATTGTCAAAAGCACCACAGTATTGTATTGTGTGGCATCCACACTTTGGTCTTTTTTTTGTCCGAAACACCTGGGTTGAGTTAGTGATTCTAGGCAAGGTTACAAAAAACTCAATGCAAATATTTAACAGCCGGTTTGGTAGGATGTCAAAAGGAAGACTGAATCCAGAAAAGAGTTAAAATGTTTTCACAGGCGAGAAAAACTGACATCCATAATAAAATGCATTTTAATCACTTGCTGATTCATTTTTCAGGGCAAGGCATGGCCAGAGTCAACCTGCCTGCTTTAGTATATAAACAAAGCCTGGCAGTTAACTGTCAATCAGTATTAACTGGTGCATACTCCATGATAACATCGCTATCCTCCGCGTCCATTTGCTAACTGAACAGCAATCCCCTCTCCTACAGTAATAAGTATCAATTTACCACTTGAATTCACATTCTAGTGAATTATCCTGATGAATGCAAGATGAAAAACTGTCTTATTTCAGTAATACTCAAAATGCATTCAGAAACAAAGACAGAATTACTTAACCTAGATTATGTTACATCATTTAATATTCATTCAGCGTCTTTACTTTGTATTTGATGTTCCATGCATGATATTTAAATTGCTGCTCTGTGACGTCAGGATCACAAGCACTTCTGGACATATCATCATGTACAGCCACTTTTTATGTTGGTGAAGAACACAATACTTGTGATGTGATAATTAAGTCATTTTTTGCATAAAAATTATCTAATAATTTGGATAAAAGAAATCAGACAGCAAAAGTTTGTTGCTAAAATGTGAACTATCAGATAATTGGAATAAAGTAACCTGGAACAAAAGGGAGTAGATTACAAGCCCAACATCCTTACTGTTTAGTTTATGTGCTTCTCCAATTCTGGCCTCTTGCAAATCCTCATTTTTAATCAATCCATATTGCCAGCAACACCTACGTCCCAGACTCTCAAATTTCCTCTCTAAACCTCTTTTGCTTTCAAACCCTCTGTGTCAGCTCCTACTACTTCAAGTGTCAGCCCCACTTGGCAGCACATTCTGAGTCATAAGGTTATGGGTTTAGTCTCACTTGAGACCTCGAAAATAAAGGCTGATACTCCAGTGCTGTATCGAGAAAGGACTCCAAGTGCTATCTTTCAGATAAGAATGTCCCATTCGTCTGTTCAGGTGAATGGAAAAGATCCCATGCCATAATTTTGGAGGAAAACAAAGGAGTTATCGCCAAGGACTTGACCGTTATTTAATCCTTAATCAACATCAGTAAAACAGTTTGGCTGGTCACTATTTCCATTTTATGAATGTTGTGCTCTTTTCAGATAAGTTGGAGTTGTGTGGAGTTTCTTGGAGTGATTTCCCACCATCGGACTGAGTGAGTTCTCTCACTGAATCACACCAAACTGTCAGCATTAACTACCTACTGTGCCCACGTGCTGTATTTCCCATCCAATTTACGTCCCATCTCAACACACAGCATTCCCGGAACAGCTCTTCACTCAGTGGATATCCCAGAATTCACCAGCATTCCTCACACCATCCACTGGGCACCTAAACAGGCACTGCCAGTTCAGACCTGCTGCTCTGCCCAGCTCCTGACATTTGCCCCAGACGTGGAAAACAGGGGCAAATTAATGCCTTGCTTTGCAAGCATCATCCTGGGGAGGGGGATCTGGGGGGTGGAAGTGATCCTGCTGAATGGGGTGGTACGCAGCTCAGACTTCTTGTTCCCCAAGGCCCAGTAGTGAAGGGTGCCACATCAGGCTCTGCAGCCTGGTCCCATGTTATCACTCAGGTCAGTGCACTCTCAGCTGTGTGGAGGAATGACCTTCTCCAGGCCACCAACCTCTCTCCAATGCCTCAAACTCACTCTCTCTCTGCTACAGCACTCACCTCTCAACAACGCTCATACCCTATTGGCTCAATACTCCCCCACACACCTGCGTCACTCACTATCACCCATCCCAACCCCCCCAACACCACTAAACCTGCATGCCCTCTGAGCTGCATACTCACTTGCTCGGGACACCTCTCTACCTACAGTAACAGCTGTGTCATCCACTTTCATCTCCTTCAACAGCTGGCCCATTCCCAGTCCAGGAGGAAAACAACCCCGACAGGCCAGATAGAGTCATGACAGGTGGTGGACAACCCAACATTCAGCTCCTCACCTTTTACATGGGCAGCATCATGTCTCTGACCACCCTGAGAATCTGACAGGACCCAGGTCCAAGCCCCAACCTGGTATTGGAGGCTGCCCTTGACTGTGCATACCTGGACTTCCCCCCCACCTCCCCTGCCCCGAGTGAACGGTTTCACCCTGGATTTTTCAGAAGCCTGCTGACAACCATGTCAAGCTTCTTTCCTTTGTGTCTGCTGTAAATGGTGAGGCAAGGCAGCAGTAGAAAGAGCTTGGTATTGCCGGCTGAGGGAGCAAAGTGCCGAAGGGCAAGGCAAAACAAAGTGCAGAAGCGTTCTAGAAGTGATTTGAATATCTGCCATGAGGATTCGTGGAAGCTGGCACATGTCAGATGCCAATGTCCGTGAATATGGAGTGTGCGTGGCCATTGCCCATAGACCATGCCCTGAGATACATAGACGTTGTTCAGAGCAAGTGGTTGGCTGAATTTGCCAGATACCTGCTCTGCTCTTCCATGTTGAGTTTTTTTGACATTTAGCTTGTTTGGTGAGTTTGATAGAAAGCTAAATATTAATGGAACAAGTTGGGATGCCAACAAGTTAGCTAACAAGCTTTAATCACTGTCAACTGATAACTGACCATGACCTAGCGAGAATCTCACCCTGCTGCCTGTGAAAAACATAAAAGATGGAGTGAGACGTTCCTGACGTCAAGATGGGCCCCACTAGACTTCTAGTCCAATTTGCCACAAATCTCACCAGAGCCCACGACACGCGGGCCCCTAATTATAGATTCCACGTAATGTGAGACTTTGCTCTGTTGCTGGATGTAGTTCCTGCGTTACAACAGTGAGCACATTTCAAAGATATTTCGTTAGCTGCATAGTTCTTGGAGACATTCAGCGGCTTTGAAAAGCACTAAAACAATGCAAGCCTTTATTTCTTTAGTTAGCTCCCAGGAGAGAATGTAAATGTTGACTCATGAAGTAGTCTAATTAACCATTGCCTGGAAAATGGGTCCTTTGCATTAAGCATGACCTAGATACCTGTGACAACAGCAAATCCAGGTGATGCTCTGTTCCTCTAGAATCAACATTCATGACACGAGCGAGTTTCTCCAAGAATTCATCACGCTCTTTCGTTCTTCTTGTGTCTTCCTGCTTGACCTCATCCCACTCTGTTAAATATTTCCTGATGAGTAAATATCAACAATGATAGAATGTTAAGTGTGTTACTGTTTTGCAATCAAGTCTTTACAATTTAAATATCACATCAAAACACAATGTCAATGTCAACTGGTAACTTGACTGAACATGATAAAGTGATTATTCATCATGGTGGCATTGCAGTAAGGCCATTGGACTAGCAATCTCAGAGTCCCAGGTTAATATTCTGGGAACATAGGTTCAAATCCCACCATGGCAGATGACTTTAATCATTCAATAAAATTGGGAATGTATATTCCAAACTTATGCAAAGTTAACATAAAACTCAATGTCTCCTTCTCAATTGTTGAATATTTTTGCTGACATGTAGTCAGTTTCTTTGAAAAATAATCGACAGGCCATTTCAGCATCTTGCAGTAAAACAGCACACATGCCCAGTTCACTGGCATCAGCCAGTTTGAATGGCTTCTCATTATTAAGTGTGGCTAAACTGGTACAGTTGTCAGCACAGCATTCATGTTGTTAAAGGTAGTCTGACCTTGTATCATTCAAATGTTCTGCCTTTCTCCAACACATTTATTAAAGGTACAATAACAGTGCTCAAGTCTGGGACAAATTTGTGATATAATCCACTCATGCCAACATAAGGCAAAATTGCACATTTTGTCCTAGGGATGGGAAAATCTAAAAAAGCCCATACTTTCATTTCTCTATGTATTACTTGGCCTTGGCCCAAATAAATTACTTTTCCTTTGTCAAATTTACTCATAGCCAGCTTTTTAAACAAACTGACTTTCTGTAGCCTATCAAACAATTCAATCAAGTGGTGTAAATGTTCTTTCCACATCTAGCTAAAAACAACCAAATTGTTGATGTGAACATAATTACATCAGGCTCCAGAGATTTTATTAGTTAATCATCGGAACATTGCTTCTGCATTTATCATTCCAAACAGCATGAATTTGTATTGATAAAGTCCACCTGGTGTCGCAAAAGCTGGTATCTCTTTGGTTCTATCAGTCAAAGAACTTGCCAATTCCCTTTTAGAAAGCTGATTTCTGGGACAAATCGTGTGTGTCCAATTCATTCAATACAGTCTTCCAATCTTGGAATAGCATGTGGGGTCGGTTTCTGTGACCAGGTTGACTTTGTGATAATCAATACAGCGTCATTATCACCCACTGTCACAATAGGCGAGAACCAGCCACTATGAATCCATTCAATAATATCATCACCCATCATGAACTTAACCTCTCCCCTTATTTGAGCTAATCACTCTGGATTGGGTCTGTAAGAATGTCCTTCTATAGATAATACATCCCCTGTATTCACTTCATAAATAGTCAAAACCATTTCTCTGGCCTATTCCCACAAATTGATTTATGATTCTTCTACAGACTTCACAAGCCACTTGGATTGTCGTTGAAAAATAAGCTACATAAGCTTTTAAACACCTCCATATTCTGCAGCAATTGCTGAAGGGTCAATTTTTGAATTTTCAATTTCTGATTCATAGAATCAGAATCATACAGTCTACAGCACAGAAAAAGGCCTTTGGCCCATCTAGTCCATACTAGTCAAAAGCAAGTATCTAACTATTCTAATTCCATTTGCCAGTACTTGGACCGTGGGCCTGTGTGCCTTGGCATTGCAAATATGCACCTACATACTTCTTAAAAGTTATGAGGATTTCTGCCTCTACCACCCTTATAGGAAATGAGTTCCAGATTCCCAGCACCCTGTATGTGAAAGTCTTGTCCTTATATTGCCTCTAAACCTCTGGCTCCCTTTCCTTAATTCTACACTCCTGGTCACTGATCTTTCTACAATGAGGAAAATTTCCTCCCTGCCTTCTCTCTATGCACCCTATAATTTTATATATTTCAATCAAGCCCCCACTCAGTCTCCTCAGCTCCAACAAGACCCCAGTCTATCCAATCTCTCTTCAGAGCTGAAACTCTTCAGCCCAGGTAACATCCCAGTATATCTTCTCTGCACCCTCTCCAGTCTAACCATACCCCGCCTATAATGTGGATTCCAGAGTTGCCCACAATCCTCTTGTCGTGGCCTATACGACCATTATCCATTTCCCCTCCTATTTTTATTTATCTCCTTTCTTTCACTATCCTAAGTACATTTAATATTTTTTTTTCCTGGCAATGTCCCAATCATAATTTATCTTTAACATATTAACAAGATACACACACTGATTCTTTCCCCTGTTTAGAGTACTCACTACATAATTCACATCATTGAGTTTCTGTTTGATTTGATAGACTCCAGTGCACTTTCCTTTTAATGATTCCCCAGAGACAGACAACAATGCTAACAACTCATCTCCAGCAAAAAAAGCCCAACTTTGACCATTTTATGTGCTTTAGTTTTCATTGTTTATTGAGCACCCTACGCATACACATGCTCTCACGACAGATTAGAGTTTAGTGGAAAACATTCACCCTATGATAAAAAGGAAATAAAAAGGTAAAGTTTTTGAAACTTGTTTCCCTAGACAAAGTTCAATGTAGGGCCATTGAATACTTTTAAGGCAGAGTTAGATTAATTCTTTGCTAACAAGGGTGTCAAAGGATATTGGGGGAAGGTAGGAAAGTGAAGGCCACCATCAGGTCAGCCATGATCTTGATAAATGGTGAAGACGACAAACTCCCTGCTCCTAAGTCATATGTTCGCACATCTGTGGTTCTAACACAAGGGTTCCCAACTGTGGACCAGGACCCCACAGTCAATATTTTAGCATCACTGACTCTGAAGCAGCCATGGCAGCCTGGGAGCTCAGACCAGATGGTAACAGCTCAGACTAGATGGTAACAGCTCCAAGGCCCCTTTAAATCCTCACCTGGTCTCCCCACGCCCAAATCCAGAGTTAAAGCCCCACTTCCCACACAAGACACACAAAGCCCGAGGCACTTAAATAACGTCACATTGGGATCGAATTTGGAAAACACTGCTCTAAGAGAATTAAACAGAAAATAGAATTTCAATCTGTGCTTTAAGTGAAGAGGCCCACCTGAGTTTGCTCTCTAATTCTGTATTCCTCTGTTGGAGTTCTCTGTTCTCATTCTGTAAGACCTGCAGTGTTACTTCGGCTTCAGTCTTTGAAGAAAGCAGCGTTCCAGACTTCTCCTCAGATTCCAGGATTCTCTCTCTCAAGCAACCAATGAGCGACTGCTGCCTCGTGTTGTCCATCTTGTAGCCTTCGACTTCTGCCTTTAGCTCCTGGACATAGCCTTCTTGAGATGCAAGCTTCAAACAAATGTCTGTAAGCTATGAATAGGATAGATCAGTGCAGAATGCAACGTAGTTAATGATCCTTCTAATGACAATGTCAAGTAACGATTGACATCTTATTTCAGCCAACAGATGAAATCTAAATAAGTTAATTCTATACAATCTACATTTGTAAAATCACGTGTATCTAAATCCTGGAACATAGAAGTAGGAGGAGGCCGTTTGGCCCCTTGAGCCTGTTGCTCCATCCAACAGGCTCATGGTTGATCTGACTGTGCTCTCAGGTCTACTTTGCAACCCCCTATAGCCCTTGACTCCCTGTTTAACAAAAACCCATCTAACTCAGCCTGAAATAAATTTAAAGACGCAGCTCCACTACCATCTAAATGAAGATAATTCCATGCTTTAACCATCTTCTGAGAGAAAGAATTTCTCCTCATCTCCGCATCTTTGTAGTAGCCACCCTATCAAGTTATCGCAAGTTCTCATATTTTGCAGTAAGATCACCTCTCCCATTCAGTAGGTATAGGCCTAACCTGTTCAAACTGTCTTTGTAAGAATAACTGCTCATCCCAGGAACGAGTTGAGCAAATCTTCTTCTTTGGCCGCCATGGGGCTTTTACAGCACAGAAATATCCATTTTACTCTAAAACCTTTTTCCAGTATTTGACCCGTACTACATGCTATTTGAAGTATTCATCTAAACAGTTCTAGAATGTGTCAATGATTCCTACTTTTATTGCATTTTTAGGCAGGAAGTTCCAGACACCTTCCTGATTATTGCACCTCTGCAGCAGTAAAGCTCTGGCACAGTTTTTAAAAAAAAAAACTTGCATTTATAAAGTAGCTTTCACAACCTCAGGACTTTCCAAAGTTTCTTGCAATCAATGAAGTATTCTTGGAAAAAAAAAAGTGTAATCACTTTTGTAATGTCAGAAATGTGGACACTGATTTGTACGCAGCAAGTTGCCACATATGACAAGGACTAGATCATATTAGGGGTAGCACAGTGGCTTGTGATTAGCACTGCTGCCTCAACACTCCAGGGACCCAGGCTCAATTCCACCCTCAGGCAACTATCCTTGTGGAGTTTGCACATTTTCCCCATGTTTGCGTGGGTTTCCTCCCGGTGCTCTAGTTTCTTCTCACAGTCCAAAGATGTGCAAGTCAGGTGGACTGGCCATGCTAAATAGCCCATAGTGTCCAGTGGTGTGCAGGCTAGGTGAATTAGCCATGGAAAATGCAGGGATATGGTAGGGGAGGTAGGGTGCTCTTTGGAGGGGCAGCGTGGACCTGATGGGCCATATGGCCTTCTTCCACACAGTAGTGATTCTATATGTCTTAATAATGCTGGCTGGGTGATAAGCATTGACCAGGAACCCAGAGATAACTCCTCCGATCTTCTTTGAGCTACAGCCTCAGGATCTTTCACATCTACCTGGGAGGGAAGGTGGAATTGCAGTTTAATATCTCATCTAAAGGAAGTCTCAAGAAGGAATCTCAAAACAGTTGACGATGAGCTGTTTGGCCAACTATTGACTGATATCAGTCCTAGAGAGTTATGGTGGATTTACTTATTTGTCTAAGGCCTTTCTAAGAAGAAAGCATGGGAGTTGCTCTGAACAATGTTTACCCCTCAACGCATCCTATTGTTCTGTGTGAGACCTTGCTTTGTGCAAATTGGCTGCCACATTTCTGAAATTATAAAAGCAAAACATTTCATTGCCTCTAAAGCAACGAGGAATGCCCTGACCTTGTGTAAGACTTTGTATGAATGCAACTTAATTCTTTGCTTTGTTTTGCTTTCGTCAGACTATACCTTGAACACAGTAGGTGATGGTTACCTCAGTTGGCTGGATGGCTGGTTTGTATTACAAAACAATGCAAACAGTGTGGGTCTGATTCCCACACCAGCTGAGGTTACCATGAAGGAGTCTCCTTCTCAGCCTCTCCCCTCAGCTGATGGTGACCCTCACGTTAAACCACCACCTGTCGTCTCTCTCTAATGGGAAGCCCTATAATCTGGTAGGGCTATGTTTATTTTACCTTGAACACTGCAATCAAATCTGGTCAGCAAGGCTTGAGAAATCACAAAACCACCAGAGATAGCAAGGTGTAGAGCTGGATGAACACAGCAGGCCAAGCAGCATCAGAGGAGCAGGAAGGCTGACGTTTCGGGCCTAGACCCTTCTTCAGAAATGGGGGAGGGGAAGG